CGAATTGCTCAGTGTGTATCGAGCACCAGCTGTGTTGGGCTATGAGGTGTCTTTGGTTCCTCACAAAGAAACATGCTAGCATGAATAATAGATATCAATACATGCACACAATGCATGTTTATTTTTAGGTGTGTTTTATTGTGTGACCCCATTTTTCTTCTTTTTGAATTATTGAAAAAAGGGGGAAGAAAAAAATAAGAACTTGACAGTGCAGATGCACAAGTACTTCAACACATGGCTGCACAATTTCTATCCAAATCTTTGTGTGAAGAGTCAGAGCTTTGGGTGTTTGCTGTTGTAAAATGGTACAATAAGGAACCAGTGTGAGCATGTGTTCATCCTTTTGGCAGTATATAAAGATAGAGCCACCCTAATACCACTAATGGCAGCATTTTAGCAGCAGTTTGTTACATGATTGCAGAAGATGGTTTAATGGCAGCTTGCTTGTGAATTAAAATGTTAAATATTGGGATGATTGTATCTGGACTGGTAGTAGGAGTAGTAGTAGTAGTATAGAAGTAGTAGTACTGTTCTTATTAATATACACACTAGTAAAAAAATTATGAATGATACTACTTAAAATTAAATCCATAAGCAACCAACATCAATAGCCTCCCTATTTCTGTAGTTTGTTACTTGCCTAAAATTTATTTCCAGGAAGAATCTCAGAAAGTTTTACATCTAAAAATGCTCTGAAACCAAATTTCCCTCATCTATATTGCTTTAAAAACAGACTTAATCCAAATAACAAGTAAAACCAGCTAATAATTATTTAATATTATTGATTCATTTAGCCAGTGTGAACAACACTGAAGTACATACATTGCATTTTTACTATATTTTGGTTGCCTAATTGTGTCATCTCAGTAATTTCAGGGGCATACTTTGAAGTTAAACATCTGCAGAAGAGAGCGATTAGCTGATCATGAGTCCTATTTGATTTCAGGAAAATGGGCATTGCATTTCCATAAGAGATGAGGAATTAAAATGAGATGGGACTTTATCTCTATAGGGTATTACCCTTTAAATTGGGAGGTCAACCACCTGGTGGAGCAAATTTTATTCAGGTATCTTAATGAAATATTCTCTGAACCTAATTTAAAAATAGCTTACTAAACTTAAAAGTTAAAGAAAAAATACATCTGTAACTTACAAACATCTGGTGCACTATCTACATGTTTAGCTGTGTGCTCATTCCATAGATGTATGATCCTTACAAACGAAAGTTGGTGGTAAAGGTGACTAATCGTGTTTTCCAAACATTTTTTGTCACTGATTGAATGACTTCTTTGGTTTTTTGAAGGCGTTTCGCTTCTCATCTGAGGAGCTTTGTCAAAAACTGCAGATATCCTAACTGGGCCTTTGTGAAATCAACAAAGAAGTCTGGAAAATAATCCACAGCAGCAATTGAAGAAAAGGACAACAGGTGCAAAGGCACCATCATCCCATATGTGGCAGGAGTCAGACATATTTAAAAGAATTTTCTTCAAACATGTCCCGGTAAACCTTAAACCCAACAACAACCTCAGATAGAAACTGGTCCATCCAAAGACAAAACACCCAAACAGAAGCTTAGTGGGGTCGTTTATACAGTCCAGTGTAGTGAGGACTGCCCAGATCTTTACATTGGGGAAACTAAACAACAATTACACAAGTGCATGGCACAACACAGGAAAGCCACCTCTTCAGGTCAAGACTCAGCAGTCCATCTGCACCTGAAGGATGAAGGCCACACTTTTGAAGATGACAAAGTACACATTCTGCACAGAGAAGATAGATGGTTTAAGAGAGGAGTAAAAGAAGCCATCTATGTCAAATGTGAAAAACTTACATTAAATAAAGTAGGAGGCTTCCGGTTTCATCTTTTCCAGCATGTATAATGCCGTGCTGAATCTAATTCCCAGTTTCAGTCTAGGTCACACCCTCCTGCATCTAATCAATACAACTCGCTCACATTAGAGGCTAACGACCATGACGTCTCATCAGGAGGCAGGGAGGGGAGTTGTGCACAGGTAGTTTCTGCTTTTTAAGCAACACTAGACAGCTGCAGTTTATAAGCTTAACCCTCCCATGAAGGATTAACAAAGCTCCTCAGATACGATAGTGAAACGTCTTCAAGAAAGATATCCAGGTGTCTTCATTCAAACCCAAATGGATTACCATGACCTGGATTACTGAGAACCTTCACCAACAATAATTGTCACTGAGCATTTTTTACAAAGCTAAAGCTTTATCCTATTCTTTACCTTTTAAATTTTATTGTGTTAATTCAAACTGCACCAGATTGCTTCTGATCATGCTGAATGTTATATTTAACCAGTATTTCCTGTCCCTATGATTTGATTCATTGGCAGCAAAGTAGATATTTAAATGTTAGCCACAGACCAGATATGCACAACCCTAGTGACTACAGGCATGGTCAAAATGTTGTTGTACATTGCTGGATTAATCTGGATTACATCAAATAAAATAAATGATACTTGTTTCACTGAACTACATCTATATGCACCTCTGTGCTTCAGCTGTGACTCAGAACAGCCAAAGAATCATTAAATGCCACCAAGTCTGTGACTCAAGCTAGGAAGCAGCAGCTATATTTATAACCGCATAAAAATCAAACATTGTAGAAACTAAACTGGCTGGCATTTACGGATATGCAGACTTGTAGAAGTCTATTGTGTTGTACGTCAGCGCAGCGTGTGTTCTTTACAGAGAAGGTTAGAACAGCCGAAATAGCAGAGGAAAGAGAAGCTATAATTGAATGCTGAAAACTTGGAGCTCAGCATTAGTTGATAGATAATTCTTGTTTGATTTTTTTTATTTTTCATTTTTGAAGCATCTGCACTAAAGCTTTACATGCATCTTCTCAAAAAGAACAGAACTGGAACTTCTTGAGTTGTGGTGTACTGTCAGAAACGCCAAAGAAAAGTGATGGGATAGCAGGGGGAAATTGAAAGCACTGTGCTGTTAAAATTATAGAGCAAAACAGAAAATACCATGAGTGACTTCCAAAGAAATTAGCAAAGCTGTGCTTTTGCTGTTGCAGATCTTTTCGTAGTATAATTTTACTTAACGAACTTTGACGAATAATTGTGTTGAATTTCAAAGACGGCAACAGGGGTTCTTCTTGAATTTTGAGGATATTTTATTTCTCACACAAACTGAAAAAGTGCATCACTCTGTCCTGAGTGATTGTTGGGGTCTGTGCAAGGAGATGTTTTGGTCGCGGTCATGAAGGTTCAAATTGGCATTGGGATCCCAATGTACTAAATGCCAAACTGGAAGGCAAGGCAGGGAGAGTGATTTGCATGTCAGTTCAGCTGGCACAAACAAAGATTCTGTGGTGGTCGCCTCAATTTTCTCCGAAAACTTTGCAAACTTCAAGTCCACCAATCCACCCTTGCTGCTTTCTATAGCTGTTTTATGGAATCCATTGTCACATTCAACATTTCTGCCTGGTTTGGTTCACTCACACTTGCTCAGCGTAACATGCTCAATAAATTAAGGATAAGCAATAAAATCATCAGGAGCAGCAGATACTATAGTTCTCATTAAAGGCACACAGATCTCAACAGACCCGTCACATGCTCTCCATTCTTACACCCGGTTACCATCACGTCGGTGGTTCAGGGCCCTTCCAGTGAAGATGAAAAGGACGTCCCCAGCTTCCTTCCTTCTTCAATATGCATGTGAAATGGCACGCTCCAGTAAAAACTGACTGTGACCATATTGCAGTGAATCCAGATTGAACAAAAAATCTTTTATTATTTTATTATTCCATTTTAAATTCCTTTAAAGTATATGTAGGTGTGAGTATTCTTTTAAATTGATTGTATGTATTTGCGTGTTTTGATGCTGTTTTCATGGGCTATGCTGACACTCTGTGAGTGAAATTCCTAATGGATAAATAAAGTGAATTTGAATTGAATTGAAGAGATTTTCACCACAGTACAAACTCCAAACTTCTGAAACTGAAAAAAACCACTTAAATGTGAATCTAAAACAATTGGAATATGGTGCCATCGTTCTTTTCTTTCAGTAACCACAAAATTCCACTATCTCCGCTCCTCCCCGCCCCCGCTTTCCGCTGCCGCTCGCTTCCGAATTCCAATTATACTGTACCCGCTCTACAACGGCTCCGCTCAGGTGCGGAGACCTGAGGTGTGCAAACAGGCATGCGCAGGCTTTTCGAGATCTTGCGATACAGTCCGAGCAATAAACGCGGAAGTTAGATCCAAACACCCGTTGTGTGGGAGAAGCATCGAAATGAACTGTTTAATCTGCCCATCATTTGTGTTGAGAGATCAGCAGTGTTTGGATCAACAAAGTGTGACTACTTTGATAGTGGAAACTGTATTTATGGCTTATTTTTGTGCATTTAAAGTTCAACCGCCATTCATAGTTGTTAAAAGTTGTTAAACCTGTGCATATGAAACAAAAAACGCTTTTTGTTTATCGATTTATTGTGAAATAACGGAAGTTGTGCTCGCTCCTTTTCCTGTTGGGCGGTTGTGATTTCTGTCCATTGACTGCGGAGGTGCTCCGGCGTTCGGCAAAAATAGAATCAATCCTATTTTTGCCGGATGGCGCACTAATGATGATATTAATATATCGTCAGATGGCATCAATTTATATTAATTAATATTTTTTTTACTTTAATAATTGTATTTATATTAGCAGTGCTACCCCACTGAGATTAAACAGTCATAGTAAAGTGTTTTATTTTACTCTGTGAAATGGTAGAATAGCTTGGGTTACTTGTTTTACCACTGGAGTTAAAGATTCAGTCTATATTTGTTTTTTTATACTAAAGCTGTAGTTAAATATTTATTTAACTTAGTAGTTTTGGCTGAAAACTCTTACCTTTCCCATTTTTCTAATTGCATGACTTATAAATGAGTTCTGTATCTGTATTAGCCACTCATTCTGTCATCAGATGATCCTAAAAAGACTTGAGGGTATGCTTCATGGTCAATCATTTCTCTCCGTCTCTCTTTCAGATCCAGAGATCAGAAGAAAAGTCACACGCTGCAAGTCAAGAAAGACAAATGAAGCACTCAAAAAAACAAAGTCCTAGTAGCAGGGTACCACATCACATCCATCACTCCTGATAACACACATCTCATTTTCATCTAAAACGTCACCATCACTACCAACACCAAATAGGTTTGCACAAACTATTCTTCTCTGAAAGTCACAAAATAGTTAAATGTGAAGAAAAACGATGTATAGCTGAAAATTACTTCATCACCACCTTTACAACCTCTTGGCTGTCATTCAGGAAAATTGTACCTTCATTATCACCACTGCATTCACACAGGGTAGGTGGTAACCGGTCGCACCTCACTTAATTTTCCATCCATGAATTCTAACATCTTTATATAAATATCAACGTGTATCTTCGTTTTCTCTTAGTTTGACATTAGGAAATCATGTAAGATTCAAACTACGTGTGCATGTATTCACACTCGCTGCTGTTCTCTAGTGTCATTGCGGTCATCACAGCCATGTTGGTTCCCTGCTGATTAAAACAAGAGTACAATAGGACATGGATGGGGAACATCAGATCTGCCAATCCACCCCAGAACCCCCCCTAAAAAATATCCAAATGCAGAGTCTTCACTTTCCCCCTCCTTTTTTCCTCTCACTTTTTTTGGGTATGGGGGAGGGGCTTTATCTTTTGTATGTGTACATAAAGCAATTAAAAATCTATAGTTTTGTACATGTAATTTTTATGGTGTGTGGATATTTTTTAATAAAATAAAATAAAGTGGGTGATTCTTTCCAAGACTAGCTCTTTTTTCAATGTATGTAATTATTGATTTATTTTAATTGTGTTGTTTTGTCACATTGCATACTTGTTGGCTAAAACAAAATGCTAAATTTTAATTAGATGGAAAAAATGAATTAAACTAAACACAACTGCTGGTGTTATTGCTAGAGGCAAACTTAGGTAAATAACAATATAAAAGGCCATTAATAAAAGTTTTTAATGTATGTTCTTTAATTGCTATCTAGACTAGAAAACACATGTATTCTGAGTCTGAACTAAATGAACCACAAGTGAGTTTCACAGATCTTTTGCAAGTGTAGAAATAAGGACATGAAATTTCTAACTTTAGGTTTTAAATTTGTTACTTTTGAAATATGGATCAAGTCAGACTGTTTCCAATGTAAGTAAGAAAGTAAGTAAATTTTATTTATATAGCACTTATCACAGACATAGAATCACAAAGTGCTTCACATAGATCAAAACTAAAACAAAGTCATAAAATCATGAATAGGTTAACATCATAAAATCAAAATGCTCTCAAAACAGAATTAGATTAACATCAGAAAAATAGTCATAAAATTATAAATGTTCATAAAAAAATGTGAGTTAAAAATAAGAAAATAAAAGGTTTAGGTAAAAGCAGCTTTAAATAAAAGGGTCTTTAGCAGTTTTTTAAAAGTGTCCAGACTGTCAATGCTGCGTAAGGATAAATGAAGATCATTCCAGAGTCGGGGTGCAACAGTCCGGAAGGAGCGATCACCTCGACTTTTGTATCTGGTCTTTGGAACTTCTAGAAGGTTATGGTGGGCGGACCTGAGGGCTAGGGTTGGAGCATAAGGCTTTAACAGTTCAGTAATATAGGGAGGAGCTTGACCATGTAGAGCATTGAAAGTTAGAATCAGGATTCTAAAATGAACTCTAAAGGTGACGGGTAACCAGTGCAGAGACATTAGAATAGGAGTGATGTGTGCTCTTCTGTTTGCTCCAGTTAGAAGCCTCGCTGCAGAGTTCTGGACCAACTGAAGGCGGTCAAGGGCTTTTTTGTTAAAACATGTGAAAAGTGTGTTACAGTAATCTAGACGGGAGGAGATAAAGGCATGGATAACAATTTCAAGTTCATGTTTTGACACCAACCTTCGCAGTTTGGAGATATTTCTTAAATGATGAAAACAGTTTTGGACTAACATTTTTGAGTGACATTTAAGAGACATTGATTGGTCAAAAATAACACCTAAATTTCTTAAGTTTGTCTTGACGGCAGAGGATAAATGATCAAGTTTTAGACTAATGAGGGGAACCATGCTCTCAGGGGCAATGGCCAGACACTCAGTCTTTTCAGAGTTTAACTGAAGGAAGTTTTCTTCTAGCCAGCTGGTGATAGCGGATAGACACTCCAGTAATTCAGACAGTTTATAGAACTTAGAATCCTTAAAGGAGCAGTACAGCTGAATATCATCCGCATACAGGTGATAAGAGACATGAAAAGAATCAAGTATCTGTCCAAGAGTTTGTATGTACAGCAGAAAAAGTGTACCCAAAACAGAGCCTTGGGGTACCCCACAGAACAGATCGGTAGAATCTGACATGATTTGGTTTATACAGACACTGTAACTTCTGTTAGAAAGGGACGATCTAAGCCAGTCTACAACAGTTCAAGAGATCCCCACTGAGTCACCAAGTCTGTTAATTAAGGTGCTGTGATCATCAGTGTCAAAAGCTGCAGAAAGATCTAACAATACTAACACGGTGAATTCCCCGTTGTCTGCAGCCATCATGATGTCACTGGAAACTTTAAGCAAAGCTGTTTCTGTTGAATGCTTTTTACGAAAACCAGACTGGAATTTGTCAAAACTGTTGTGTAGTTCCAGAAAAGTAGATCTTCCACAACCTTTTCCAATATTTTGGAGATAAAGGGTAATTCAGAAAAGGGTTTGTAATTTTTAGACTGAGATGAGTCAAAACTTGTTTAAGGATAGGTTAAATAACTGCATGTTTGAAAACAGATGGTACAGAGCCAGATTGTAGGGATAAATTAACAACATCTACAATGCATGGGCCAATTTGGTCAAACATACTGATTAACAAGGTAGTAGGAATGAAATCAGCAGGGCATGAGGTTGGTTTCATGTGTTTCTGAATGAGGCAAATGTCCTGGAAATCTACAGGATTAAAGACAGACCATGATTGGGAGGGAGGGGGTAGGATGGCGGGGGGTGGGTGTTAGGAAGTAGATGGGGGTGGAAAACTTGCCCTGATGTTTCTGATTTTATTTTCAAAGAATGCTAGAAAGTTGTTACAGTCAGACCTTGAGTAAACTGGTGTAAGAGGGGCTTGAGGTGAAACAATCTGGTTTATGGTGTCAAACAGGACTTTAGAGTTATTTGTTTACAGCAATCAGCTGAGCAAAGTAAGTGGCCCTGGAAATTTTCACTGTCTCATTCAGAGATGTTATCAGTTCTTTAAAGTGCAGCCTGTGACTGCCGTGTTTTGGGGTAGGTGTCTAACCCAAGCCATACAGAATCAGACACAGAGACGAGGTAAAAGAAGAAACAATAATTTTATTTAAATGAGGAGGTGAACTGAGGGTGTACTGGAGATCCAGCGGGAGGAAGAACCCGGAAGCGGTAACTAGAGGGAAATCAGAGGTGAGTAATGGGAATTGTAGTCCAGATGGAATGTTTGAAGGCGGAACTTACGATGAGGAAGTTCAGGATGAACGTAGAGGGGAGATGAGCCGGGGTGATATCCAGAAGAGATTTGTGATAATCAAAGTGGGTGAGTGGAACGGACGAGGCGGATGAGTATGAGGCAGTGGAGAGAGAGCGTGACCGGTGGAGAGCGGGACGGCTGGGTGGAGTAGGAATCCAGGCAGCGAACCGGTGAATAATCCTTATGACTCTGAGACTGGAGAGGATCCAGCGATGAAGCAAGTCTGTGGGTGAATATCCAAGCAGAAAACGAGTTCAGGTTAAAACGAGTTCCAAAAAATGTTTCAAAGACAAGACGAGGTTCAAAATTACTAAGAGGCTAGAGTCCACCAGGCAGTTGTTAATCATCCGGCGTCGAGTGAGGATAATCGTCCTCCTTTTAAAGCCACCCCGCTGATCAGTCTGATGAGGATCAGCTGCACTCCCTCTCCTACAGGCAAAACTCAACAAAGGTGAGATGGGCAGAGTACTCACCCCGGCTCATGACAGTGACTTTCTAATCTAGTGGACTTCCATTGTCTCTCGGCTCTGCTGCATGTCCTGAGACTGTAAATATTTTTGATTACCGTAATCCAGGGCCTTTTTCTCTTGCTAGAAAAAGTGATCTGCTTAACAGGAGCTACTTTATCTAAGATACTGCAGCATTGTTTATCCAATGACTGGATGAACAAGCTTGGATCATCACCCTGAACTGAGCTGCTGTCAAATAATCTAGAAAATCCATCCACCGCTGACTGATTAATGAAACGTCTCTTTGATTTTATGTTGTTAGGGACGGATTCAACATTAGATAGGACCTTAAAGAAAATGCAGTTGTGGTCACTCACATGAACCTCTTCAACATGTAAATGATAGATTTTTAGTCCCAAGGATAAAACGAGATCTAGAGTGTGGCCCATTTTGTGTGTGGGGCCTGAAACGTGCATGCTTGAGCCATGTCGGTTAGGGTGAATACCATCTCGCCTGAAAAAGGAGAAACGGTTCCAAAGCAGGTTAAAATTATCGATGAAACCAAAACTGTGGGACCTGCAAGAAGACTGAAGCCATGAGTGGAGAGAGAGCAGATGGCTAAAACCTCCATATCCATGAGAAACTGTGGGGATCGGGCCAGAGATGAAAACAAACATTCCACTGCTCTTCAGAATGTAAATATTTCTGTAAAGTACCGACTGGTTCTAGTTATTGTTGGGTTCATTCTCATCACAACAGGTGACATATACATGAAAATCATACTCATTATGTCACAAAATTAGTTGATCATGGACATATTCCTTCGTCACTTGGATGGCGGTTTGCAAAAGCCACAACTGACACGAAGAGAATAGGAAGCCTAAGTCACGCCCATCTACTTCCAGAATATGGGTCCCCAATTGCTGGAAAATAATTAATGAGAGTCTATAAGTTATTTTCTGATCCAGTTTGATATCGTCGTCGTCGTCGTCGTCGTCGTCGTCTTCCTCCGCTTATCCGGGTCCGGGTCGCGGGGGCAGCATCCCAACTAGGGAGCTCCAGGCCGTCCTCTCCCCGGCCTTGTCCACCAGCTCCTCCGGCAGGACCCCAAGGCGTTCCCGGACCAGATTGGAGATGTAACTTCTCCAACGTGTCCTGGGTCGACCCGGGGGCCTTCTGCCGGCAGGACATGCCCGAAACACCTCCCCGGGGAGGCGTCCAGGAGGCATCCTGACCAGATGCCCAAACCACCTCAACTGGCTCCTTTCGATCCGGAGGAGCAGCGGTTCTACTCCGAGTCCCTCCCGAATGTCCGAGCTCCTCACCCTATCTCTAAGGCTGAGCCCGGCCACCCTACGGAGGAAACTCATTTCGGCCGCTTGTATCCGCGATCTCGTTCTTTCGGTCATTACCCAAAGCTCATGACCATAGGTGAGGATTGGGACGTAGATCGACCGGTAAATCGAGAGCCTGGCTTTCTGGCTCAGCTCCCTCTTCCCCACGACAGATCGGCTCAGCGTCCGCATCACTGCAGACGCCGAACCAATCCGCCTGTCGATCTCCCGATCCCTCCTACCCTCACTCGTGAACAAGACCCCGAGATACTTAAACTCCTCCACTTGAGGTAGGACCTCTCCCCCGACCCGGAGGTGGCAAGCCACCCTTTTCCGGTCGAGAACCATGGTCTCAGATTTGGAGGTGCTGATCCTCATCCCAGCCGCTTCACATTCGGCCGCGAACCTACCCAGCAAGAGCTGAATGTCAGAGCTGGATGAAGCTAGTAGGACCACATCATCCGCAAAAAGCAGAGACGAGATTCTCCTGCCACCAAACTCGACACACTCCACACCACGGCTGCGTCTAGAAATTCTGTCCATAAAAGTGATGAACAGAACCGGTGACAAAGGGCAGCCCTGGCGGAGTCCAACCCTCACTGGGAACAGGTCCGACTTACTACCGGCTATGCGGACCAAACTCACGCTCCTCTGGTAAAGGGACTGAATGGCCCTTAACAGAAAGCCACCCACCCCATACTCCTGGAGCGTCCCCCACAGGGTGCCCCTGGGGACACGGTCATAAGCCTTCTCCAAATCCACAAAGCACATGTGGATTGGTTGGGCAAACTCCCATGCCCCCTCCATCACCCTTGCAAGGGTATAGAGCTGGTCCACAGTTCCACGGCCAGGACGAAAACCACATTGCTCCTCCTCTATCTGAGATTCAACTATCGATCGGACCCTCCTCTCCAGTACCTTGGCGTAGACCTTTCCAGGGAGGCTGAGGAGTGTGATCCCCCTATAGTTGGAACACACCCTCAGGTCACCCTTCTTAAAGATGGGGACCACCACCCCGGTCTGCCACTCCCTAGGAACTGCCCCCGATGACCACGCAATGTTGTAGAGACGTGTCAACCATGACAGCCCTACAACATCCATAGCCTTGAGATACCCAGGACGAACCTCATCCGCCCCCGGGGCTCCGCCGCTGTGTAGTTGTTTGACTACCTCAGCAACTTCTGCCCCCGAGATCGGACAGTCCATCCCCAGGCCTCCCAGCTCTGGTTCCTCCTCGGAATGCGCATTGGTGGGATTGAGGAGCTCCTCAAAGTATTCCTTCCACCGTCCGACTATAGCCTCAGTTGACGTCAGCAGCTCCCCATCCCCACTGTAAACAGTGTGAGCGAGTTGCTGCCTTCCTCTCCTGAGGCGCCGGACAGTTTGCCAGAACCTCTTTGGAGCCGCTCGATAGTCTTTCTCCATGGCCTCACCAAACTCCTCCCACGCCCGAGATTTTGCCTCGGCAACTGCCACTGCTGCACCCCGCTTGGCTATCCGGTACCTGTCTGCTGCCTCCGGAGACCCACAGACCAGCCACGCCCTGTAGGCCTGCTTCTTCAGCCTGACGGCTCCCCGAACCTCTGGTGTCCACCAGCGGGTACGGGGGTTGCCACCACGACTGGCACCGGCCACCTTACGACGAGTTTGATATGTGCCATTGATTTAATCAGGGATGGGGATATGTGGCATCCACAAGTCATCTCATGCCATGTTTTTCTGCAACCAAACCAGATGATTTCAATAAGCACAGTGAATGAACCTTGTTCAAATGCTGAGCAGAACAAAATCATAGCAAGGAGTTGACTTGTTAATGCCACAATTCTCATCTCTGGATTTAACATATGATGTCTGTGATTTTTTGATGCCAAGAAAGCACAAATCACTGTGAGCAGAAAATAACCCTCAGATGTGCTTGTTTCAAGAACTAGCAGAATGCTCCATTGGAGGAAAGCTAAACACAGCAGGTCTCAGAGTCTTATTTTCCCATATTTGGACATTTCACCTCGTATTAGAGAACAGAAACACGACTCTACCACTGACTCATTTTGCTCTGCAACATGGATCTTTTATCTGCACAAATAACACAAGCCTGGATGAGTTCTGCTATGTGGTGTAGTTGCTAATGGCAATGCTTAGTTTCTACTACCCGAGATGTTCTCTGCTGTTTTCTGGATGCTAAACCAACAACAGCCCACTCCTGCACGAGTCAAGATGGGTGAGTGCATGAATAATAAATGACAGTGTGACGTAGATATGTCTTAAATGTGCATGTCACCACATGCACTGTCTCTTTCAGCTAACTCATCCACATGGAAATACTTCAGCAGAGGAAAAACATGGATGGGTTAAAAAAAGGTTTTGTAGCTTTATGTCAGAAAATTTGATGTTCCATTATGAAAAAACACTGGGGTTGATAATGTACTAAAACCACATGTGTCAGACACAAAGCCCACGGGCCAGATATGGCCCGCCACATCATTTTATTTGGCCCGTGAGCGATTCAAGGGTATTAAAATAAGTCTATGCTGCTTCAAAGCGCACATTGGCTATAAACTAAATTTCCCATAATGCATGGCAATTGTGTTCCCAGTGCAGTGACTCGCCACTAGCGCGCTGT